GGGGTAGGTATCTGACCAGGGGGACAGTGCAAGAGCAGGGGAAGGGGACAGGAGTGGGCTGAGGTGTGGGGTGTCAGCTTTGGGGGACATGAGTGAGGGGGCTGGAGGTGCAGGGTCTTGGCAGGGCAGTGAGTGAGGAGAAGTTGGGGTGGGGACCACTTATGTGCTTTCACGCGGCTCCTAGCACCGTAGCTCAGGCATTGCCTGCCACTGCTTTTTAAAATCTAACTAATTTGTTTTGCATTAATAGCTTGAGTTAACTACAATTGAGAACATTAATTTTCATGCCATTATATACGTTGAGAGTTTGCCTTCACCTGCAGTGCTGGCTGTGTTCACTTTCGGTCACCCTACCCCCAAAAAGACATGGAGAGATTTGCAACCCAGGCAGTGAAAATGATTAGAGACCTAGAAAGGTTGTGTGTGAAGAGAGACTAAACAGATTGGAACTGCATTGTGCTGCCAGCAGACAACAACTTGGGGCATGCCAATGCTACATTTACCAATGAATAAAGCAGAAACATATTGGGGGCTCAGATGGCGGAGGGGATGTGGCTCAGCCCAGGGGACAGGGGTTGGGCTCGGATGGCAGAGGGGATGAAGGGCAGCCAGGAGAGGTATGGGGGACCCAACCCCAGCAGCTCTTCCTCAGTGGCACAGCCCTCCCGGGTATGAAACGGGAGCCAGAGCTGGAGTAGCCCATGGCCAGAGGGGACAGCACCAAGGATGGCCACAGTAAGTGGCTAAGGACAGAGGTGAAGGTGGGCCATGGTGGCAGTACATGGACGCTGATGACGTCATTCTGTTGTCCCACAGGAAATGTTTTTATATATATATCAGAGAGAGAGAGAGAGAGAGAGAGAGAAGAATGGCCATAGTGGGTCAGACCAAAGCTCAGTATTATGTCTTCTGACAGAAGCCAATGTCAGGAACCTCAGAGGGAATCAACAGTGTCCCAGCATCTGACAAACAGAGGCTAGGGACATCATCCCTGCCAAACCTGGATAATAGCCATTGATGGACCTATCCATGAATTTATCTAGCTCTTTTCTGAACCCTGTTACAGTCTTGGCCTTCACAGCATCCTTTGGCAAAAACTTTCACAGGATGACTCTGTGTTGCATGAAGAAATACTTCCTTTTGTTTGTTTTAAACATGTTACCTATTCATTTCATTTGCTGACCTCTAGTTCTTGTGTTATAGAAAGGAGTAAATAACTCTTCTTTATTCACTTTTTCCATACCAGTCATGATTTTATAGAC